TTTTACACATATATTAAAAAGATCTTATGCGGCATGTTTCATCACTGTGATCTAACTTGGTTTCTTCAAGTCAATGCTGTAATTAGTCACAGGTACATGAATGCCAACACACCTTTCCACGTTAGCATGTTGCGATAAATTATCCATGAGTATTACTTGCTATGATTTAGATAATTAATCTCTCAGAAAATATACTGACATCGATTCTTTCTTCGTTCAAAGTGGATACAGCAGCAGAAGAAAAGATGGCAAAGTTCAACAATTGCGCCCCAAGGGATGTGAACGCACGAATGACCTTCAGCCGACCAATTGCAAAAATAAGTGACTTTTGCACAAAAATGAAGTATATTTACAATAATATGCATGAAAACACATCAAACAGAGTATCTTTATCTAACATGACCTAAAAATACGTCCCAGTTATAATAAGGAGTATCAGTTTTTAGGTGAGACTAGTTTCTGTACATTTATTCACCAGGGTGAACTACAGATGCTCTGTTTTTGCGAATTGTTTATCTCTCTTATCCTGTTGTGCAGTCTTCCCGAAAACCCTCGGTTGAATCACTATGGTTTCCAGTGAGAGGAAGGAAAATGTGGATAAGAAACCAAATTGAAATAAATGACATCAGCCATAAATCCATCCCTAACCGTAACACTAACATTAATCCTAACCCTAATCGCAACCCTTATCCAAACCGTAATTCTAACCCTAATGCTAATTATAACTCTGACCCTAACCCTAAGCCTACTCCTTACCCTAATGAGCTTTTAACACATTGTCCAAGCGAGATCTGGGTGAAATTTGCTATTTAGCTGGTGAATAGAGTTGATATTTCAGCTATGATAATGACAGGTGCTGTTAACCAACGACTAGCATGCGTTCAAGGTCATTAGAGCGTTCACATTCCTCGGACGTTATTGTTAAACTACGCCGGAAATAGATCCGCTTTAAGTGATTTTGAGTCATACCACGAAGTCAACAAGTTTATACGAACTCATCTCAAAGTTTTGGTTATTGGACCTGATCCTGTTAGGGAGGGGCTTTCAAAGCTTGCGTTACTTTTGAATGATAGTAGGTTGCACGTGGTTTGGGGATTTCTAGGATATGTGTGAGTTAAAATTACTCTATATTTACATGGATACTAAAAAATCAAAAAGTCCTACGTCACCTGATCATTTTGTGATTAATAGTGGAAGTGATAATGTTAAATATTTTAATGCTACTTATAATGTTTTATTGCATAATGGCTTCTTCTTAGACGTTTTCTGGACCCTAGGTTAATGTTTATGTCGCATATATTTGTATCTAACGAAGAAACAAGCATGAGTGTATATTTTGCAGTCCACTATGTGTAATTGTCAGTTTATCGCCAAGTGGTCACTTGTTACATTGTTTGACTTAAACCTGTACTCGTTATATTATTAGGCAGTTAAATAATAAAGATCGCACTTTTGCGTGTTTTCTGCGTCAGTACATTCTATCATCCTCATGTTATATTTCTTCCTCTACAACTATATGTATTTCCACCTAGTTAACAATTAGCTATACTTATTTCATTGTACCTGGTAGTACTACATTGTTGTCCCAACCCATCATCCAGTGTTTCAAAGTCTAGTGATTACACCAATGGGACACAATCGGGCAGTTTAAATAGTATTAGGTAAGCTGCTACATAAAAGGCTTGGAGTCTATGTCAATCCTTTTTCTAGTAAATTTTTGTGCTTAACCAAACGCTTCCTGAATGAATCAGTTGAGGTTGCAGACACCACTTCTTCCGGGAGTCGGTTCCAAGAGTTTATGACTCGGTGTGAGAACCAGTACTCCACAGCAATATGGTTTCTCCTTGGCTTTTGAACTCTCCTGCTATGTCCTCTAAGGTATTCCGACCTGGTGGGAAGGAACAGAGAGAATAGATCAGGTCCGTAGACATTATTTACAATTTTTAACATTGTGATTAAATCTCTGTGCCTATGGTATGATAGGGAAAAGAGGTTTAAATTGTCTAGTCATTCCTCGTATGATAAATTAGTCATGCCGAAAATCATACATGTTGTGTCATCGTCCGTTGTATCTTTTTCTGTACCTTTACGTACTATATAATGTTGCAACTTGAACTGCGGCGCTTTTGTGTAAAGTTGTACGTTGAATATTCAGTCAATCTCTGATATTCTAAAGTTGTGTGAATGGTTGATTAAATTATACCCCGTCCATTTATTAGCTTGAATAAAGAAAATACGAACATATTTGCAGGATAATGCGAACTCGTTTTATTTCGTGGATTCTCTTCAACTGCGTGCATCCTAAACAATATCAATTGTAAGTTACAAAATGATGTCTGAACATACTTTTCTCACAGTGACTTCAACTTATAGACGGAAAGTATAGGCAACATAATGCCAAAATGGAATCATTCTCTACCACAGTGCCTAAGTTCTATTCTTATATCAATTATGTTAGTAGACGAATTATTCAGTGTTAAGAGTAACTGTGCGTCGGTGGCATAGCGGTTAGGACGCTCGCCGACCATGCACATGGTCCGGGGTTCGATCCCCGGCCGACGCACTCCTTTACCTCGCTAAGCCAGAAATAATGCTGGTGAAGAGGGAAGGTTGGGCATGAGGCTAGCAACCCCATCCTGTAAAAACAAACACCACTGCTACAGAAACTTCAAGCCACTAGCTTGAAGCCCTATGTTCCACTGGGGAATGTGAAGGAAAAAAAAGAGTAACTATTGATAAAATAATTAGATAGAGGGGAGAGTAGAGTTGGGATTTCGCTTGGATACATGGATGGACTAGGGGTTGGAGATGAATAGTAAGGTAAAATTTTAAGGTAGATAAAATAATGTAATTTAGTGGATTTGGGAACTTAATAGTGAGTGAAAATCAAAGTCTAAATTAAGTGGAACGTTATGCAGCAGTACGAAAGCACATGAACAAAACAATTACAGTCCTCGGGACGGTAAAAACCAATGGTTGGAAACAATTAGTGACATGGCCCGAAATCGTTCTCAATGGCCGATGCAGATGCATCCACTCCTTGTGACTTATGATTTCCAATGAAACTGTTTTGTTCTTCATTATTACTATACCTTTGTCTCACACCTCTGTTTACTGTCTCTATTATGCATTTCTCCTACTTTCTTCTCATGCTTTGTGTGCTACATGGAGTGTGGCGGCTTGAACTGCCGCACATATGTGCAAAGTTCTATATCGAAAACAGACAGACAGAAGGTGGGTCGAAGCGTTTTGACAGCAATATCTTCCGTGAAACGAAGTAACGATCGTTTTATTTGAGTATTGATTATTTTAAAAGCCTGAATAATTTTTACTATATGTCCCGTGTTGTCAGTTAGGTGTTTGACAGTTGCCAAATTTTGTGCCAACCACCTGGCTAGTTTATGGACACACTCTGAGGAGATCAATGAATGCCATCACGCACAGCGCAGGTCTTTGAGTGGCACCCAAATGGGAAGTGATGAGTTGGGTGTTAATCCAAGAGTATCATGGAGGGGATAAAAATTATGAGGGATAATGCAGACAATTGAAAAATACTTCAGCTAACAGGGTGAAATGGATATGTGCTGCTGAGGCCCCCATATTCCACTTGAAACCCAAGGACGGTCACTAATCCGAATCTTTCACCTTCATCATCATCATAAGTAGAGTTGCCTTTCAACATAGCACTTTCTTGAAGAGACTCATTATTATTTATAACATATATCATCAAGTTATATTACAAGAAGATGCACCAGTTACAGAACCACTGAAAACCACGGTGTACTGGACAACTACTTCGTGTTAGTTTAGGAATTTTGGCAGCGAAATGACCCTGAACCAATTAGTCAAATAGCTCAACATTACAAAACGATGCTTTTCGTTGTAAGTTTCACCCTGACTTTGGGTTAGGGCTATAGTTAGGGTATGATTAGGTTTAGACTAGGGTAAGGGTGAAGCCCAGAGTTAGGGTTAGGGTTGGCCACCCCTCCGCACACCCCTCGAAATGCTCCCATATAACCGGGCGTCTTACATAGCCTCTCCTGAGGGAGTCCTACTCACCGCCTTCACGTGGCGGAGGTGTTTTTCACCAAAGTGAGAGGGCGAAAGCGGATGCCCGGCGCTCTTCACCGGGTTGACTGTCCATTGGATGACAGTCTAGAGGAGATGGCTAAACCCTGATTCCAAACCTCCAACCTCTACCACTTCACTTCCTATTTCTAACAGGAAGTGAAGTGGTAGAACACGTTGACCGCTTCAATTACTTGGGAAGTACCATCAGCCCCAACGGGTTGATCTCCGACGAAATTTCAGCACGAATACAGAGGGCTAGGTTCACATTCGCCAGTTTTCGCCGTCTCTGGCGTAGACGCGATATCCGACTATCGACCAAAGGGCGTGTGTACTGCTCCGTCCTCCTTTATGGCTGTGAGACCTGGCCATTGAGAGCAGACGACATGAAAAGATTAGCTGTCATTGATCATAGGTATCTGCGTTCTATTTCCCGCGTGAAGTGGTATAATAAGTTGAGCAATATTGAGGTTAGGCGTCGGTTGAGTGCTAGGTAAGGAGGGGAAATCATTCGACGAGACTGTGAAATTACTTCGACTGAGATGGTTAGGACATGTGCTACGTATGCCTAGTCATCGCCTTCCTCGACGGGCAATGTTAGCTGATATAGGGCCAGGCTGGAAAAGAGCTAGCGGCGGTCAAACGAAAACATGGCACCAATCAATGAAATCCACAACAGTTAATCTAAGCCACGTAGGAAGATGTAGACTTCCTGGTTGGGGCCCTCGGGATGGTAAAAACCAATGATTGGAAACAATTGGTGATATGGCTCAAAATCGTTCTCAATGGCCGATGCAGACGCATCCACTCCTTGTGACTTATGATTTCCACTTAAACTGTTTTGTTCTTCGTTATTACTATTCCTTTGTCTCACACCTCTGTTTACTGTCTCTATTATGCATTTCTTCTACTTCCTTCTCTTGCTTTGCGTGCTACTTAGATTGTGGCGACTTGAACTGCCGCACATATGTGCAAAATTCTATGTCGAAAACCGACCGACCGACCAAACCTCCAACGACTGGCGTATGAAGCTCACTGGAGCTCACCGGCAAACATATGGACAAAGGGCTTGTTGGATGTCCTGGATGTCTGGCCCCATTTAAAAAGGCGTATGAACCGAACTCCGGTCACCGGCTGCCAATGGATAGTGGACTCCCTACTCCACTCCTACTGCCTTGTAGGTCACACTTGGTTGTGTAAAGGCTAGAGCTGCACTCTCAAACAAAAGGCCGGGCGATTCTGGGGACATCACTCGTACCAAATTCCCATGAAACTTCATGAACTCTCTTACAAACGATTTCGCAGGGGTGGACAGCTGAAAACATGGCTTGGTACAGTCAAGGCTGATATGGAGTACCTGGGGCTACAAACCATCTACGGACTCTCTCTGTGGAACAAGAATTGGATAACCCTGTCGCAAAACCTTGCATCAGATCGCCGCGCCTGGGCAGCGATGATTCGAGATGTTCATGAAGCCGGCTCATCCTCCCGTAGGAGACAGCCGAAGTAAAGTAAGTAAGGGTGAAGCCTGCAACAAAAACTGTGGACAACATCCATTTCATCAGTTTCAACGGGTTTGTCGCTGACGAATTCTCAGCATGGATACAGAAGGCTTGTTTAGCATATGCCAACTTATTCCATCTCTGGCTTATTAGACGTAATATCTGGTTGGCTATAGATCAAACGAAGTGTGTACTGCTCAACACCAATTCACTGCGTCCTCCTTTGTGACTGTGAGCAAGACATGGCCATTGAAAGTGGAAGATACGAAAAGACTGGCGAGCTGTCTTTGATCATAAGTGTCTGCGTTCTCTCTACATACCGTGTTAGATGGTATGATAGGGTGAGAAATACTGAGGTTAAGCATATGTCAAGTGTTGGGTAAGGAGGGAAGAGAAATCACTCGATGACGTTATGAAGTTACACTGATTGGGATGGTTAGGATATGTGTTACGGCTGTGTACGGATTGCCTTCCCCGACAGGCAATGTTAGCTGTTGACAAAGGATCCATCAAGTTGGTAAAGAGCTAATGGTGGTCAAATTTTAAAAAAATGGCTTCATCAATCAATGAAATCCACAACAGTTAGTTTAAGCTAGCCAGCCACTTAGGAAGATGTATGTTGGATGCTTGGTTGGGGTCCTTGGGATGGTAAAAACCAATGAAGACTAGAGACAACTGGTGATATGGCTGACTCAGATGCATTCACTCTTTGTGATTTATAATACCCAGTAGAATTCTATTGTTCTTCCATATTACTGCTCTTGTCGCCTAACATCTCTGTTTATAATCTCGCTGTCTCTTTTGAATCTCTCTTCTCTTGCTTTGTGTGCTGTATGGAGGGAGTGTGACCACTCGAAATGGTGCACATCTGTGCAAAGTTCTAAAATGTTGAATGTTGCGGTTATCATCATCAGGATATATTCATCATAAAGTCAATCATTCATCAGGATCAGAGGGTCCTAAAATTGGCAGTCATAAAAATTTTAACCAAAGGATTTCGAGCCTATTGAAAAAACTTACTAGTACAATCTACATCTATAGCCACTTCTATTAAAAATTGGGACCTGTTATTACAGCCTATTAGATGCATATACACTGTATAGACCATTTTTATTATGTATATGTGTTGTTATTATTATTTCCTTGGTTTCCGAGTGGAACATAGGGCTTCAACAACACATCTCCACTTTCTTCTATTTTCTACCGTCCTCTTCTGCTGGCTAGTCACACGACTGGCCGTAATCTGTTATCTCCTCCTTCCAACACACGATCTCCTCCATGTCATCCTCGCACCGACAACCCACTCGTTGCTTCCCACGGGGATTCCACTCAAGCGATGACCTGCGTTGCTCGCGATGTCACTCGATGGCCTCCTCAACGTATGCCTGGTCCATTTCCTCTTAGGTATTTGTTGAGCGATCGGCTCTCGGTTGGTTGGTTTGTTTCCTAGCCAGCCAGAGTTTCTTGTTGCTAATTCTTCCTGGTCATATCTATTCCATCTGCTCTCATAGATTCCCAGAACTTCTATTCCCTATCTTCTCATTTCTTTGGTTACCTAGGCAGCCTTCCCAATTATCCTCGTACATCTGACGTATATTCCACGCCCCCATTCTTATTCTTGCTTTTATGGAGAGAAGACACATCGGCTGGCTGACTGACTGGCTTTCACCAGCTCGCTTTGTCATTTCACCTCTCCGATTCGAGCGAAAAATAAGTGGTTTTTTTTACAGTTTTTGTATTTTTTAAAATACCTTTCTTGTCCGTTGAAGTTTCTGTAGCAGTTTGATAATTTTTTTGGGGGGGGGGTAGAGTCGCTAGCCCCATACCCAACCCTCCCTCTTTACTCGGACTTGAGACCCGCTAGAAAACTAGCGAACTAGTATGTTTTTCACCCTAAAGAATATAATTGGTTAGTTCAAGGTCATTTGGCTGTGGTACCTATTCTTTATTATTGTTGGAATCTTCAGCAGTACTCATCTACGGTCCATCAGGGATCGAATCCTTTATCTTCAAATCAAGATGCCGGTCTACTGATCTTTCAGCTAGTCGGACAGAAACTAATAGGTTATAAATTTTTCAAACTTCACGGTACATAGGTGCTTACGCCATGTCGTTGACGAGCAGTAACTGATAGGGTCATGAATGCACATACTGCTGAAGAGTTCAATATTGTGGGTGAAACAACTGTCCATTAATTTTCAAGTATTGGTTTTATAGGGATTTTGTTTGATTGGATGGAGAATTTCATCTAGATGAGCTGAAATCAGTTAGAGAACCATTGGAAAACCAGCCCCGGAGTACTGGACAGCTGTTTCATCCTAGTTTGGGACTTCTCATCAGTACGTACCCACCGGGGGAGGCGAACCTAGGACCTTCTGGTTACAAGCCACTCACTGGAGCCTGATCCAATGGCCAGTCCATGAATTCTAACTTCTGGCAATTCATGACATAGCGCAACCATTTCGCGCAATGTCTTCTTCTCCGATGAGTTACCTCCTGCCTCCTATTGTTTGTTTTCATTGCTTTTCATTTTCTTATCAAATTTTTGTTATATTCTAATATTTTTAGAAGAAGAAAAAGAAGAAGAACAAAAACAAGAAAGTTGCCAAGTAATTATGCTTGAAAGACATTCAAATCCACCAGTTGGCCTGGAACGTGTTCATCGATATTTTTGTTATGTTTGTGGTACTCTATTACCGCATAAACTAGAAGCGAATGATTCTTTAATTTGTCGAAAATGTAAAACATCGACATTTATGCGTTGGTTTAACAATATAGAGGCAAGTTTTAATACAGAGAGTAAATCAAAAAATAACACAGTTAACGGGATCGATGTCCGTAATGATGGCGATGCCGAGGAATCAACGTGTTTATTTTTTCCATCAATGATAAAAGGGGCTAAAAAAATTCTCAAATCTGAAATTGCCTTAAAACAAGCTTTAGAAGCACAACAATTTGAAAATGACACACCTCAGGCGGCGACAACCACATTTGATGGGCCAAGTATACGTAAAGAATGCGCTTATTGTGGTAATGACAGGATGACTTATGTAACATTACAAACTCGTTCAGCAGATGAAGGACAAACGGTTATTTATACTTGTACACAATGTGCTAAAAAAGAGATTGAAAATACATGAATTGTATATAAATATGTATGTTATTGACTCATTTAGTCCCCAGAAGAGGAACATAGAGCTTCAGCTGGACGCACATCTCCATTATTATTATTATTATTGTTTCCTTTAACTCTTAGAGGAACATAGGGCTTCAGCCGTGCACGTCTCCATTGCGTTCGGTTCTCTGCTAGAGTCTTCACCTGGCTCCAAGTCTGCCTACACTTTTTCATCTCCTCTTCACATGACCTCATCCAAGTCACCCACCCTCGCACTGACGACCAACTCGCCGTTTCCCTTTCGCGTTCCACTCGAGCAATGGCTTGTCTAGTGATGTCACTTGATGCATTGTTTTCTGAGAGTATGGCCAATCCATCTCCATTTCTTCCTGCAGATTTGTTGCACAATCGATTCCTGCTGTGTTGGTTCGCTCATTGCCAGAGATCTCTGTTGCTGATCTTTTCTGGCTGGCCATCTGATTTCGAGTATTGAGCGAAGACAACTGTTAATGAAGGTCTGTAGTTTGTTTGAGATGCTCTTTATGACGCGCAGTGCAAGTCTCTGATCCGTATAGTAGCACTAACTGACTTCACATTGGAGTTGAAAATCCGAATCTTATTTGTCATGCTGAGTGCTGTTGACCCACACACAGACTTGACAGTAGTGAAAGCTAGTCTTGCTTTCCCGATCCTCACTGTTTTGATATCCTCGTCAGTTCCGCCTGTAGTTGAAATGATGCTTCCCAGGTAGGTTGGTAGGTAAAGGTGGTTGCTTCTTTCAGGTTCCTTCCATTTATGCTGATTGTTGTCTGTTGTTGCTGTTGGTTGTGTTGCCCAGGAATCTTCATCACCTCTGTTTTCTCTATGTTCACCTGAGGTCCTATCTTCTCTGGATGCTTCTTCTTCTATCGCCAACTTGTTGCTTTTCGCTTGCATATCTTCCAGTTTGTGGGAAATCAGACATATATCATCAGCAAAGTCTAGATCCTCCAAGTTTTTTTGTGTGAGTCCATTTTATGCCTGTTTCCTCGTTTCCCGGCCCGCTGTTTGTCGCATTATCCAGTCTACTGGAATCAGGAAAATCATTGGCGATAGTAGGCAGCCTTGTCTAACTCCTGTCCTCATTTCGAAGGATTCCGTTCGCTGTTCTCCGACAACATTTTCATCCAGCTTCACGTCTGTCCACATGCTTTCTTCTTCGGTTTACATCAACCTCCTCCACCTCTTCCTCCATGTCACTCTCGCACTGACCACCAATTAGCTCACCACTTACCATTCCATTTTCCACTCGAGCTATGGCCTGATTCGTTCTTTTCTGGTCATCTGATTTTTGCAAAAACGTTTGGTGTATATGTCATGGAAAATTCTCACTGGGATATTTGGAAAATCAAAACAAGTGATTCACTGAAGAGACTCTTTCCAACAAGAGAATTTATTATTAAGCAGTACAATCGTGTGTATATATATGGTTTTCCTTAAGAAATTATATGCAGTGAGGGAATCGAATCATAGGTGTGAATACATTAAAAATTATAATAATAATAATAGTAGCATAGCGACAGAAGACAAGGGCCAGGCAACAGATCGTTTATTAAGGAAAATCAACACATGTTTATAGATTTTAATGTAGATTATTGTTAGTATAAAATACAGTCTTTCGATTGGTTGTTTCTCACAGAAGTTAACCTTGCATCTCTTTGTGGCTGTGTCAGATCATCCTTATGCTGACTGTATCCGCCTACGCAAAGCCTTTGTTCTCATTTTCTCACCACCAATATTGGGGACATAAACATTGACGTCAATTACACTGTCTACCAACTTTGGCTAGCAGTCAGCTCTCACCACAATAGCAGTGTAGCGATAGAAAACAAGGGCCAAGCAACAGATCGTTTATTGAGAAAATCAACAGATATTTTAAATGTACATTATTATTCGTCTTCTGACTGGTTCTCTTCTTGCTGAAGTTTATTCTGTCATCTCTTTGTGACCCCATTTCTTAGAAAGTCAGGCTATACATATATATCTGCGAATCGTACTTGCACACGTTAGGTCTGTTGTGATTGGTTGTTGAGTTCCTGAAGGTTAAGCTTTTTTATTGTTTTTTCTCATGACTCCGGTTCAGGACGTTACATTGACGTAAATTGTTGTTTACAATTTTGGCTTGCAGACAGCTCTCACCACAGTAGTAGTAGTAGTATGAAGTGCAATTCAACTTTAAGTGTTTGTGATTATAATCATGGTTTATTGTGAAATGATAAAACATTTAATGTCATATGTATATAGAACAATTCATAGGATGTCTAGAGCTAGGCATATTGGTCGTTCGACTCGAGCTTTGTCCAAGAGGGTGCAAGAACACTACCTTGCATGGTTACGAAGAGGTGGAAGTGGAGCTATAAGAACCACGATCATTGAATATCTGGTCGACACTGGTTACCCTATCTTTACAGCCTCCGTCTTTAAAGTTATCCTCAAGGTGAGAAACAATTTGCCCAAATCACTAGGTATCCGACTCATCTGTATTGCTGAAGCCTTGGCTATCGAAACAGAAAAGCCATATCTCTCTGTATACAGAAAGTTTGTTCAACTCCTCCAACTTTCATGGTCTTAATCCCTCTATGCTAAAGTATGATAATCCCCAATCATATTTTGGCTCTACTTATTTTTCCGTTTTGTTTATTCAATTTGGTATACTCTTCTTTTATTACGTCAATTGTGTTACTATTATTGTTCTCACTTTGAATTGTTCGCGGTATTATCCCACTTGTCCCATTCTAAATCAATTTTGTTTTGGAACGTTGAATCCTATTGTTTTCGAACGCATAAAGGTTTGACTAAGGCTCCCACAAACTTTGGAATACGCCCTCCCTCAAACACGTTTTGTAGATAGGTTTAAAAGACGTGTGGAAACATCAATTTTATGTCCTGTCTCTATAATATATTTCCACACAGAAGAGCCAGGTATCCTGTTGTCGCGTATTAATGGGTTTTGGGATTCAGTTTGCTTCTGAAGCCACTTAGGAATATGCTCTGAAGCCAGTCCTTACTTTCAGAGATCGATGAGTCCTCTCTATATATGTGTGGCCACACGTACATTCGAATTGGGAGGTGACATCATTTTTCGCATGTTCAAAGGGCTTAGATGGATGGATATATCGGCTTCACATTCTCAATTATTATGATATTAGCTGTATAAAAAGTCTCTTTAAACACAGCAGCGTTCGGTCTTTGTGTAGTTGTCAGTCATTTAATTTAGAATGTTTTGAATGATATTTAAGAAAACCACTGTATCGTAAGATAAACTTGGCGCACTCTTAAGTATGATTGAAATCCCCACAAGTTCAGTCAAATTAGCCGATGATGGCAATATAATATATTTGAGTTTAAGCTTGATTGGGTGAAGAAAAATATGCCGAATAGGTCTACGGCGATGGTTGTGCCGAAAGCTGTTACTGGCTAGAAATAGGTTGTGATTTCTCTTTGACGTGTGAAAGACGGTCCGTGTTGTTCTCCACCTAATCGAGTTTATTCCGGGCCTAGAAATTCGACGCATACACTGACGTCTCCAGCTACCTCTACGATATCTGTTGTTCACGTATGCTTCAGAAGTTCAGTTCTTTAATAATAGAACTCGTCTGGGTTACCATCTGTTGTTGCATATTTAGCGATAACTTTTCTTTGGCCGGTTACTTCTTTTTCTAGTGTAAACTTCTAGCCTCAGGGTACATAAGTGACTGTTAATAGGAATTCAGTCGAGTAATATGACCCCATCCACCCGGCTAGACCAAATATCAGTGTTCCCAGATAAGTGTACATAAAACTTACTACCCAGCCTTGTAGATGGAGAAGATATTCTTGAAGCACTTCACTAGGATCTTGTATGTAAGTCTTTGAAATGCAACAGAAAGACTTCCCAAGATCATCATCAAATATATCTGTTGTCCTATTTGCATCAGTGTAGAAACATTGCAGATGGTAAGGTTGAATGTGACGTGGTAGAGCACGTTGACCGCTTCACTTACTTAGGAAGTACTATCAGCCCCAACGGGTTGATCTCTGATGAAATCTCAGCACGAATACAGAGGGCTAGTTTCGCATATGCCAGTTTACGCAGTCTCTGGCGTACACATGATATTCGACTATCGACCAAAGGGCGTGTGTATTGCTCAGCAGTTCGCTCCGTTCTCCTTTATGGCTGTGAGACCTGGCCATTGAGAGCAGAAGACATGAAAAGATTAGCTGTGTTCGATCATAGGTGTCTGCGTTCTATCTCCCGCGTGAAGTGGTATAATAAGTTGAGCAATACTGATGTTATGCTATAGTCGAGTGCTAGGTAAGGAGGGGAAATCATTCGACGAGACTGTGAAATTACATCGACTGAGATGGTTAGGACATGTGTTACGTATGCCTAGTCATCGCCTTCCTCAACAAAGGGCATTGTTAGTTGATATAGGGTCAGGCTGGAAAAGAGTTAGCGGCGGTCAAACCAAAACATGGCACCAGTCAATGAAATCTACGACAGTTAGTCTAAGCCAAGTAGAGAGGTGTAGACTTCCTGATTGGGGTCCTCGGGACAGTAAAAACCAATGGTTGGAAACAATTGGTGACATGGCTCAAAATCGTTCTCAATGGCGCAGATGCATCCACTCCTTGTGACTTGTGATTTCCAATTAAACTATATTGTTCTTCGTTATTACTATACCTTTGTCTCACACCTCTGTTTACTGTCTCTATTATGCATTTCTTCTCTTGCTCTGTCTGCCACAAGCAGGGAGTGTGGCGACTTGAACTGGCGCACATATGTGCAAAGTTCTATGTCGAAAGCAGGCAGACAAACAGAAGGTTGAATGTGACACATAGTTTGAGAATAGCTGTGTTAGATATTGCATTGGAGGCGAAGTTTCTGATAATAACGAATTAGAAGCTGGAAGTGGTACGGAGAGGTTGAGATTTTAAACAGTAAAGAACGGTTGACGAAGGTGATTGTAAAAATAAAAACGAAATGGTTTATATATATGAGAATAAATGGCGAAATAGTTTGTGACACTGTGTACAGACGACTAAAGTT